GTTGGGTATTCATTATTTATGGCTTTGTACCTTCTACTTTAATGGGAAGCCATCTCTATATTTTCTTTAATAGTTATTAATTGATGAAGTTTATTTAATTTTATCTTTTGAGTACATGTGATATTACAAAGTGGTCTTCAACACAAGATATTAACTCACCATTTGATTTTTCTGAAGGAATTTTATTTTTCACGAAAATTCAAGTCTGACATAGATGAGTACATATATAGCTTGTATCTTTATTTTTTTTTCCAAAAATATTAAGTTGGCTTTTTATTCAAAAGATATCCCAATATCAGTATTGCAAAGGTAAGATAAGTACATAAATATATGAAGAAAAATAATTAGCTCATCAAAATCATTTAATTTATGCACTTTTGATACAAAATTAACTGTTGAAAGTGGGGACTTAATCCACTCAAAAAATGTTTGAATGGTTACTATACTTAACAAGTGCACAATAACTGTTGATTTTAAAATAAAACATATTTCATTGTTTAATAAGCACAATTAATTTATCACCCAATTTGGTGACAATGAGAGGTCAAATCTTGGTGGGTAGTTTTGACCTTATATATATTAATTGCATCAGGTTGGTCACCTTAAATGCATGAGATGAACTTTCTGGTTTTCTATCAATTAACATCATGATTTTTGAATCTATTTTAATAGCTAGGCATACAATATATGTCCATGCTTTTAAATTTAAATGTCATATTTTATTACATTTTTTGTTAAAAAATACTACCTCCTTTTTTCTTTTAAATGTCATTTTAGTTTTATCAACCATTAACCCAATAAATGATGTTTTGGATCTTTTGTACATATTTTTTCATTATTACCCTCATTTAGCTAATAATTACACGACGTCTTTTCATATTACTGTTCATCTTTTTCTCAAAACATTCATCTCTATTTTCATTAATGAGGGTTATTATTAGCAAAACAAATATTCTTAATTATTGTGCAACTTCTTAAAACGACACTTATTAAAAATAGGAGGAAGTATATAACAAGTCAATCTGTCTAAAGATTGGACCGACCCACACAAAAACTTGTTATTATAAAGGAACCAATTAATTCTATGTTATTAAGTTAAGTATGTCATTTATGTGTTCCCTATTATAAATGACCCCCTAAATATAAGTTCATATTCATCACATGCTGGAATAGCCATTTATAATTGTGTTTATAACCACAAGGTGATAAAATTGAGAGAATTTTTGTTTCTTGTCCCAAAACATAATGTTGGGGGTGAGATATGTAATAAATAATGGTCCATGGGAAAGAAAAATGAGGCAATAATAACACCATACTGACACTTTTTTCTCATAAACTGATGGGTTTGAAAGTGATTTTCAATGATCAAGTAACATAACTATACAATTTATGCATTCAGGCAAAAAGGAAACACAAATCCAAAGGCATGGATGATTAATAATTAGATGTTCACATTTTCTTAACAACAATACAAATTTATACTTTCAAAAACTCCAAAATGGCACTTATTAGTTATTGGCCAAAATATATATATATATATATATATATAATAATTTCCAAAATTAACAACTTCAGCCAGTTANATCAGAAATAGAGAGAGAGAGAGAGAGTTTGGAAATTCTTTTTCCATGCTCCTCGGATAAACGGAACATTCAAAATTCAGACGAGGTCCAAGAACAATTTCGACTATGAGTTCTTTTGTATAATTATGAACTGAGTATCTTTGATCCAGTCTTTCTGAAGGGAAGCATTAAACTGCAGAGAAAGAGTGTCTATCAAGTCAGTATGCAAATTATGCCAGCTTGCTTAACTGATAGAATTGAACATAAATTATCAAGACTTTAACAAAATAATTGAAAAAGAGGGCTAATAGTTTAATTAAGAGATCGTCACATTTCTTTTAACTGCTACAAATGAAAGCTTGGTTTATGTAAGAAAACCAACATCAAATATCAATTTTAGCGACAAGTCATAACTAACTCATAAGTAGACATCAATGTATTATAAATTTATAAGTAATACTTTGATAGAACCTCCACAAAGTTTACTCTTGCAACAGAGCTCAACCGACAAATTTTCCTTTGTTCTATACATTGAAACAAAAACCAAGCGTTGTTTTGTCCAGAAATGAGTAACTTGAAACAAAAACAACTGGCTTTTTGCCCGGGAATGACCGAATGAGTAAATACTAAATACCATTTATGTTTAACATACAATCGTACATCATAATATAAATGGTAAAAGCAGAAAATGAAGACAAAAGCATACCGGGCCCTAAGTAGTCTTATTATATGTAACTGATTCATAATATGGAAAATGCAGTCAATTGGGTAACCAATTTGTAAATAGAAATAAAGTACAAATCATTTTTTTTTTTAATAATCTACATCTGATATGAATGTGGCAACAAGAAGGATGCTTTTTAACATTTTTATTGTTTGATCAACGGTTTTTCTCTGTCACTAGGAGTGTTAAAGGTTGGAGGATTGCAGTTCATAAACACATGTCAAGAAAATGCTTAGACATATAGGG